TTGCTGCAAGCTGTACTAGGATCTATTAAAGAAAAGTATAACAATTTTTAAAATACTAAAATTTGTGAGATAAAACTAAAGGAACCCTTAGAGATTTTTAAGTTGGGATCCATGGACCAGGGGTCCATGGATAGGATTTCAGAGAGCCCTTGAACTTGGACAGGAAAAAATTAAATCTTTATTTTCACAAACCTCAAAATTAAATTTAGCCTTTCTTCCAATTACTTAAAAACATTATTCTGAGGTGGGGTCCAGAAGCTTCACCAGAAAGCCAAAGGGTTCATGACACCAAAAGAATTAAGAATCCCTGTCTTAAACGAATATTTATATCTTTGCATGCTTATATTAGCGAAATAGAGAAAGAGAAGAGCAATAAATTGAGTATTTAACTAAATGAACTAGAAAATCAACAAATTAATTATTTAAGTACCTGAAAGGCTATCGTATTAAAGAGAGGGATGAGTACATGTTGCACACAAGCAGGTTACAGTTGAATGTGAGGAAACACTTCTTCACAGTCAGAGCTGTCAAAATGGAATGGGCAGCCTCGAGAGGTAGTGGGCTCTTTCTCACTAGAGGTCTTTAAGTGAAAGTTTAATGACCAATGGTTGAGCAAACTTGTAGAAGGGATTTTTGTGGAGAGGATTCTAAGTCTCTGATATTCTTTGCCATTCTGTGAAGCTGTGATTCTTAGGATGCAGAGAGAGAAGAGCTAGTATTAACATGTAGGGACACATCAGGAAGTAAGTTAGTCAATGCAGCTCAACAAATACTTGTCAAGCGGCTGCTCTGTACCAAGTATTAAGCAGCATTAGGCAAGTTCCAGAAGTGTTCAGATGGAGTGTGCAGTGAAAGCCAGGGCAATATTGGGGAGCCAAGGAGCATAACTGAAGCCAGAATGCAAAACAAACAGTAGGTCTGAGAGTCATGGGCAGTCAGAGTAGCAGAGGCAGACATAACAAGCCAAAGACAGACAGAGATTAAAAGTGAGGTAATGACTGCCCCAGAGCAGAAGCCTTTCAAACTCTTCCTGCTGAAGCCCAATCTTGCATCTGACTTTGAGGACCATCAGACTGGGCTGAAAATTTCAGTCTGGTCCAAATGTAGCAAATCACTACAACCAGCTATCTTACCAACCCCACACTTAAGCTCCCATGGTAGAGTCAGAATAGCAGTAACTCCCAGTGGGGAAATGGGATCTACCAGGAAAAATTAACAACTGTTTCACAGTTTAAAATCACAAAGAGTTGCCTGGGGACAATGAGAATTTAATTAAATTAACCAGGGTCACACAGCCATTATGTCTAAGAAGAGGGATTTGTACTCAAATCTTCCTGATTCTAAATCCTGCTCTCTTTCCACTATAGCCACCGGTTACAACTCTGACCTGGCATATCATACCTGAGAATTTGGTTAGGAAGGCATTTTTTTTCTTTTCCTTTCCTCTAACGAGCATATATTAGCTAGCTTGCACTATTAAAGCAATATTTCTCAGCACCACATAGAACTTTTACAAAAACCAACTATGTATTAGAGTGCAGAAATATTACAAACACTCATAAAAAGTCATAACTGATGTGGCTTTACATGTTAATACATCCTTTACAGACTGTAACACAAGTCATTGATTTAGGGACCACAAACAAAAGATGCACACTAAAACAGAGGTTTAACAATGAAATCTTAAATACTGAGTGGATCAGAAACCAAATCAGAAAAACAACCAATAACTTTGTGAAAGAAAATGATAATAATGAAACAATATGCCAAAATTGCTAGGATGCAGCTAAAGCAGTTTTTTGGGAAAAAGTAATATCTCTACCAACATACATTACCAAAACAGAAAAACAGAAGATTAGCAAACTGAATATACGTTTAAAAAAATTAGAAAGCTAACAAATAAACAAACCTAAATTAAACCTAAAATGGGAAGTTTTTTTTAAATCAGAGAAGTAGATAAATTATAAATTAAAAAAACTATAGAAACAAAAGTAAAATTAAAAGCTGATTCTTCGAAAAAAACAAAACTGATAAATCTTTAGCTAATCTGATTAAAAAGAAGAGGGCAAAAAAATCAAACCAATAAAATAGCAAATGAGCAAAGTGAAATCATAGAAAAATAGAAAGAAATAAAAGAATAATCAGAACATATTAAGCAGTTATATGCTAACAAAACTGAGAACTTAAAAGAAATAGAGGAATACCTTCAAAATATAAAATACCCAAGCTATCTTCTGAAGAAGTACAGAAAGGGATCTTAAATAACTCAATCTCAAAAAAGGAAATAGATCTAGCTATAAAGCAATTATCAAAAAACAAATACTCCTAGTCCTACTGGATTCATGGGAAAGTTCCATCACACTTCTAAGAACAATTAGTACCAATATTTCACAAATTATTCTCAAAAATTGAGAAGAAAAGCACCCCACCAGAATCCTTTTACAAAACAAATATAGTTCTAATTAATACCTAAACCAAGGAAAAATAAAACACAGAAGGAAAACTATAGGTCAATATCATTAATGAATATTGACTCAAAAATTTAAAACAAAATCCTGTCAAACAGTCTATAGCAATTTATGTAAGAAATCTTAATTATGATCGAGTGGGATTTATACCAGAGATGCAAGGATGCTTCAACATCAGGAAAAGAATCAACATAATTAATCATATTAAAAACCCAGACATCTAAAACCACACATCTCAATAGAACAGAAAAAAGCTTTTCACAAAGTTTAGCTTTCTTTTTGCTCAAAACCCTACAAAGTATAAGCATAGAGTCCTTTTAAAAAACATTGTAAAAGTTATCTACTTAAAACCAAAAGCAAGCATCACATGCAATAGGGATATATTAGAACCTTTGCCAATAAATACTAAATTGAAGCAAGGATACCCACTCTATCCACAATTGTTTGATAAGTTCTAGAAATGCTGGCAATAACAATAAGAAGAGAGAAATTAAGTGCATAAAGATAGGTAAAAAGAGGGGCAGCTAGGTGGTGCAGTGGATAGAGCACCGGCCTTGAATTCAGGAGGACCTGAGTTCAAATTTGACCTCAGACCAAAACTTGACACTTATTAACTGTGTGACCCTGGGCAAGTCACTTAACCCTAATTGCCAAAAAAAAAAAAAAGATAGGTAAAGAGAGCAGATAAAACTATCTTTATTTGCTGCTATGATGGTATACTGTATTTGGAAAATCTTAGGTAATCAGTAAAGATACTCATTGAGGCAATAGCTTCAGCAAAGTTGTGGGCTACAAAATAAACATTTAAAAAATCAACAGCATTTCTACATAATAATAACAAATTCTAAGAAGCATCACCTCTCCCCTAAATTATGGCAACATTTTCCTAATAGGTTTCCCTGCTTTAAGTCTCTCTCTACTTTGTCCATCCTACCAGCTAGAGTAGTAGGACAGTAGGAGATGTATTTTTTTTTGCACTTAATAGTATTTTATTTTTTTTCCAATTACATGTAAAAATAGTTTTCAACATTCATCTTTGCAAGATTTTGAATTCCAAATTTTTCTCCCTCCCTGCTTCCCTTCCCCCTTCCCAAGACAGCAAGTAATCTGATATAGGCTATACATGTATAATCATGTTAAACATATTTCCATATTAGTCATGTTGTGAAAGAAGAATCAGAACGAAAGGGGAAAACCATGAGACAGAAAAAACAAAAAACAGTGAAAACAGTATGCTTTGATTTGCATTCAGACTCCATAGTTCTTTCTGTGGATGTAGATAGCATTTTCCATCACGAGTCTTTTGGAATTGTCTTGAATCATTGTATTGCTGAGAAGAGCTAAGTCTATCAAAGTTGATCCTCACACAATGTTGCTATTACTGTGTACAATGTTCTTCTGGTTCTACTCACTTCACTCAGCATCAGTTCATGTAAGTCTTTCCAGGTTTTTCTGAAATCCTCCTGTTCATCATTTCTTATGGAACAATAATATTCCATTACATTCATATACCACAACTTGTTCAGTCATTCCCCAATTGATGAGCATCCCCTCAATTTCCAATTCTTTGCCACCACAGAAAGAGCTGCTATAAATATTTTTGTACATGTGGGTCCTTTTCCCTTTTTTGTGATCTCTTTGGGATAGAGACCTAGTAGTGGTATTGTTTGATCAAAGGGTATGCACAGTTGTATAGCCCTTTGGGCATAGTTCCAAATTGCTCTTCAGAATGGTTGGATCAGTTCACAACTCCACCAACAATGCATTAGTGTTCCAATTTTTCCACATCTTCTCCACCATTTATCATTTTCCTTTTCTGTCATACTAGCCAATCTGATAGGTATGAGGTGATACCTCGAAGTTATTTTAATTTGCATTTCTCTAATCAATAGTGATTTAGAGCATTTTTTCATATGATTATAGATAGCTTTCATTTCTTCATCTGAGAACTACCTGTTCATATCCTTTGATCATTTATCAGTTGGGGAATAACTTGTATTCTTACAAATTTGATTCAGTTCTCTATAGATTCTAGAAATGAGTCCTTTATCAGAAACACTGGCTGTAAAAATTGTTTCCCAGCTTTCTGCTTACCTCCTAATCCTCGTTGCATTGGTTTTGTTTGTGCAAAAATTTTCTAATTTAATGTAATCAAAATTATCCATTTTGCATTTCATGATGTTCTGTATCTCTTGTTTGGTCATAAATTCTTCCCTTCTCCATAGATCTGACTGGTGAACTATTCCTTGTTCTCCTAATCTACTTATGGTATTACCCTCTATGTCTAAATCATGTACCCATGTGAGATATTGGTCTATGCCTAGTTTCTACCATACAATTTTCTAGTTTTCCCAGGAATTATTTTCAAATAGTGAGTTCTTATCCTGGAAGCTAGAGTCTTTGGGTTTATCAAACAGTAGATTACTATAGCCATTAACTACTGTGTCTTGTGTACCTATCCTATTCCACTGATCCACTGCTCTATTTCTTAGCCAGTACCAAATAGTTTTGATGATTGCTGCTTTATAATATAAAAACACAGAATGCTTCACAAATTTGTGTGTTATTCTTGTGCAAGGGCCATGCTAATCTTCTCTGTATCATTCTAATTTTAGTATATGTACTGCCAAAGCAATCACAGTAGGAGATGTATTCTTAACCAAACAAGAGATAAAGGCAATTATTAAAGATAAAATAGATAACTTTGATTAAATGAAACTAAAAAGCTTCTACATAGACAAAATGAATGCACCTAGGATAAGAAGGGAAGTGGTTGTATAGGAAAAATTCTTTGTTAGATTTCTCTGATAATGGTTTGGTATCCAAGAAATATATTATACATATATATGTATGATTAATAGCCATTCTTCAATAGATAAGTGGTCAAAGGATATGAACAGTCCTCAAAAGAATAAACAAAAGCCAAAAAAAATGCTGCTATAAATGAAAATTGAGTGCTGTTACACTTTTAGGAATTATTGGTGCCACAGTTTGAAATGAGATCTTGTGCCATTCAAACACACCAGATCTTAAGTACAAGTTCTAACTCACATGAAAATAGGTTTTGAAATCATTACTACTAACCAAAAGAAATAAAGAAAGTAGAAAATGAAAAAAAAGAATTGCAAATTATCTAAAACTACATGAACAAATGCTCCAAATCACTAATAATAAGAGAAATGCAAATCAAAGAAAACAAAACAAAACAAAACCCTGAGATTTCACCTCATACCACGTAAATTGACAAAGATGAAAAAAAATAGCAATGGTCAATGTTGGAGGGGGTTGTGGAATGTTAGGACCACTGATACCTTGTTGGTGGCATTGAGATGGCACAACCATTTTGGAAAGCAATTGGAAATTATGTTAGTAAAGTGACTAAATCCAGAGTCTCCATTGCTGGGTTTATACCCCAAGGAAGCTATGAGTAAGAAAATCCCTATACATAGCAAAATATTTATAGCAGCTTTTTTTGTGATAGCAAAGAATTGGAAACAAAGTACATGCCCATCATTTGAGGAATGGTGGTAAACAAACTTGGGTACTTGAATATAATGGAATATTAATGTGCTATAAGAAATGATATGTGTGATGAATGCAGAGAGGCATGAAAAGATCTATATGAACAGATGAAGAGGGAAGTAAACAGAGCCAAGAAAACAATGTACATAACAACAACAAAGTAAATACAAAGAATAATCACACACCAAAAAATAAAAAGTGAGTGTAACAAAATTATAAAGATCAAGCATCACTTAAATGAAGACATAAGAGAAAACACCCTAACCCCAACCCCTTCACGGAGGTAGAGATTCATGTATGTTACTTTTTCAATGTAGTAATCAGTTGTGATACTCTCTTCCCCCTTTAAAAAAAAACACCTATTATACTGGCTGTCTGGGGGGAATGGGAACACATATTGGGACTAATTATGATGATATAAGAAACAGAAGACATTAATAAATATTATTTAAAAAAAGACCATGGATAGAAATCACAGTTCATATAAGAGGGTATGTTATAGGTGGACAAATGTACCAAATTATTTTAACAAAATTCTATAATGGGCAGTAGAGTTGCACAATCATCTTGATAGTGGGAGAGAGAAATCAACATGTTTTTATTAAGTACTACTATGTGCTAGGCACTGTGCCAGACATTGGGGACACAAGTTCAAACAATGGGATAATCCCTCTTCTCAAAGAACTTATATTCTAATGAGGAAAATAAGAAGTACAAATATATATATATACACACGTATGTAAAGTATACAACATAAATATAGGGTAAATAATATAAAATAGACAAAGTAGTTAAATACAAGGTGATTTCAGAGGGAGGGCACTAGCAGTTTCAGAGGATGGGAAAAGCTTGATTCAGTAGAGGGTACTTGTTGTGGTTGTTTGGAAAAGGACCATGACATCAGGGAGGTGATGCCATGACATGCAAGTGAATTGTTTTTAAGCAAGGGAGGGCTGTGCAAAGTCACTACCCTCACTTTCTCCTCCTGAGTCATCTGGGTCCAGTGGCTAGATACTGATCACGACAACTGGAGATGGCCCAGGATACAGTGAGAGACCTTGGCCTTTTTAAACTAAGGTCATTCCCAGGTCTCAGTTGGATTGAGGCAACACCCACTCAGTGATTAAGGCTAGGTAAGAACTCAGGCAGAGAATAGCCTCTTTACCTGGTCCAGTGCTTCTTAAACTAAGAGGTCAAGAACCCATAGTTTAAGAAGTGCTAAGGGGTGTGAATACAGAAAGTTTAAGAATCCATGATCCTAGTCCCTCCCCACCCCCACCAAAAAAAAAAATTGATCTGGGAGGGGAAGACCCTCAGGGTTTCTGGCCAAAACAGAAACAATTGTTATTTACATTCATTCTGAACCATCAGGGCCCAAACAATGACCAGATAGGGTTTGGCCTGGGACCTATTGTTGGCCACTCTAGGAGAGCCTTAGTGATTTGGGATTGAGGCTGGTCTTTAAGAAAGAAAAAAAAGTTTCAGAGATTAAAATTTACATTTCCTCTGGGCAGAACAACCCCACCCTAAGTGGTCAGAGTGAGAAAGAGAGAGAGAAGGAGAAGGAAGAAAGAAAGGAAGGAAGGAAGAAAGAAAGAAAGACAGAAAGAAAGAAAGGAAGAAAGAAAGGAAGGAAGGAAGGAAGGAAGG